GAAGGTTGTGGGTAAGGAGAATCATAATATGGTACTGACCTGGAAATGGTTAGGGAATATCTGGTGCAGCCCTTCAAGTATACAAAAGATGGAGGTAAACGGGCAGCACCAGACGAAGGAAGGTTTCTGGAAGCACTCCTGTTCTCTGTATAGTCCCCAGACATAGGAAGGCTAGCCCTTGGATTGCTTAGTGGGCATGAACTTAGGCTAGATTTCCAGAATCCAATGGATTCTGGCCCTGTTCTATGCTGAGATCTGTCCATTCCACCTAGGCCCCGATATGTCCCCTCCTCCAGAGCTCGACCCTATAGCTCTCAAGTCCTGAGAGCTTGTGGTCCCTGATCTTCAGGGCCCAAGTGACTGCACCTGGTTTTGAGCCTCTTGTTCCAGCCCAGCCTGTAATTCCAGAAGGACCTCAGATGGACCTGGCTTATGTCAATGTAATATGACAGGTGTGCTAGGGGACGTGGTAGCTCAAATGGTCATGTAACTGTGGCCCTCTTGCTCAGAGCAAAGCCAGGAGACCCCTGCCCTTGATTAGCCCTGCCCTGCCCAAGTCCTGTCTTTGCCTACGATCCTGGCGCCCTCTGGTGGCTAATGTTGGGTCCTTAGCTGCTGCCCAACCCCTAGCCCCCTAGCCCTGGGATTCATGGCAAAGTAATGAGGGTCAGATCCTGTGTTTTCTGGGGGAAGGGCTCACAGAAACACTGTCAGGAGCTGTCAGGAAGGTCCTTCCTCCCCTGTTACCCACAACCACCTGGAAGCTGGGCTCAAAGATCTCAGTCTACAGGAAGAGAAATTGGGACTCAGAGTACTGAAGGAACACGGATGAACAGGAAAGCAGCCAGTGTCACAACCATGAAAAATATGGTCTATCCCACAAGCATCAGTCCTGAGCCTCAATTTAGAAGCAGTTCTCACGCAGTCCCCAAGGTACTGACTGCCTGACTGTTAAGTAGACAGTACTCAGCTTGCATACCATAGGATTCCCCAGGAGTGTGGCATACCACAGATCAGGGCAGATATCTCCAGACCTCCTGGGACCTTAGAGAACAGTTTGTCTGCTTGCCTATCCTCCTTGGGACAACCTGCCAGACAGCCCTTCATGGATCACTTGGTTTTGAGGCAGTTCTTGTTTCCTCAACTAGGGAAACTGAGGCTTGGTGAGAAACGAAGCAGAATTCCCATCTGACCTCTGACCTCTGATCTCATGTTAGAGTGCAGACACCCAGGCTGCACTTATTGTCTGCATCAGGCAGAGCCCATGGAGGGAAGGACAGGACCCATGCTTCATCTAACCCTTCTTAACAGTGGGTACAGCTTCCTGGCCAGCCTGGATATGCTCTCAGACTAATGGCACCAATATGGTCCTTGGTGGCTGGGTGACATCCTATGTTCACTCATGCCCAGTTTTCTAAGACATCATTGGCTGCCAGGTGCCGGGTGTGGTGTGTGGGGGGAGCGAGGGAGGGACACAGCCTGAAGTAGGTGAGTGGCTCCAACATTCAGTGACAGCAGCTACATGCCAGGAATCTGGAAGGAACAGGCAGGTAAGCTCACACCAGGGTCAGCTTGCATAGGGAGTGGGGCCAGAAAATTGCCCTGTCCTCTGCTAAGCAGGCAAGAAGGGCAAGTAGGAGCCATGGTCTAGCCACGTTCCTACCTCATGTTCTTCTTTCCTCAGCTCTATCAGGGATGTCATCAGGAGGACAGGAATGGGCAAGGGAAGGAGCTACCATTGTTTGAGAGGGTCTGGGTGGAGGGCAATCCAAACTGTGAGCCTCAGACTTGGAGATTACATCTGCCACAGCCCTTTGGAAAGTCAGCCCAAGCTCAGGGGCTGGAGGAGGGGTTTAGGGGTGGGGACCCAGCTCCTCAGAATTGTATGTATGTCCTGTTCTGTCAGGAATGCCAGGTCTCCTCACCAGGGGATGAGGGGTGCCATGCAGTGACCTTATCATTGTGGTTTTACCCACATATCACTGTAAGCTGGCACAGAGAGTTTAGGGACAAATAAGTTCAGGACCTCAGGGTCTGGGTGCCAGATCTGTTGTGCTCTGGGATCTTCCCATATTAGGGGCTGAGAAGTACATTTAGTTCAGGCTGTTTCTATGACCACCTCAGCCTCCAAGGACTCCATTGCCTTGGGACTAAGTATCTGGTTTTTGTCTTTCAGAGTTCTGGCATAGGACAATGATCAGAGTCATGTAGCTCAACCCCACCCCCCAAAAACACCAACAAAGGAGGGCATTTTAGACCCAGACACCTGCACATGCAAATCCTATTTGCATATCTTCCCTCTTTGTGGCAACATTTGCCTGGCACTTGGCACCTGCCCAAATGCCCCTCCACCTCAGCCTGGTGGGGAGAGCAAGGCCTGGCAGTTCCTGGGTGTTGCATCCACCTTCCATGGCATCCAGGAGTCTGGACCATCCATCCAGTCTATACTGAAGCAAAGCAAGGTGATCTGGGCTGCAGGATCTAATCCATTGTCCACGAGTGGGGGTGCATTGTTGAACCCCATCTTGAAAGGCGCTCTCCAGGACCTAGACCTTGAAAAAAAAACCTCCAGAGACTCAGGAGCCCCAGAGGACTCCTGCCCCCAGTCAAATGAGGCTGTACATGACTTTTCCACTGGGAACTAAGTGGGAAGAAGAGTGGGAGGTCCCATCCCCAGTCTAAAGCCTGAGGACAAACAGTATATGGCTTCTATACTGCAAGCCAGAATACACATACAGCTGGAGTTACCTCTCATTGCAGAGCACATGTCCAGATGTGACTGGGGACTCTATTTCCAATAGTGAGATTTACTGTTAGCAGCATGTTTTTCACATGGACCCTAAGACAGTAGTAGCTTTGTTTGGAAACAGGGTCTTTGTAGAGGAGATGACGGGAAGGTGGGGGGCCTGTCCCAATGATAGGGTTCTTATAGGAAGAGGAGAGTATAGACATGCACGGGGGGCACAAGTCCCTGACCCCAGCAGAGACTGGGCCCACGTAGCTATAAACAAAGGGATACTTGGAGCCCCTGGGAGTTGAAAGATGTCCTCAGAGCCCTGAGAAAGGCACTATAGCCTATCCATTCCTGGATTTGGGGGTTTTGTCCCTAACACTTCAGGAGTACACCTCAGCTGGGTCAGGCCTCCCAGCTTGTGGTCCTTGTTCCAGCAAACAGGGACATGCCTGTGACCCTAGCCAGATTCCTATAGGAAAACCATCAGCTGTTTATTCCTGTGGCTGGAAGACCTTATTCAAATCTTGCCCTCCACAGGCCCTGGGTGTGAACTCCTGGTGTGGGTGAGGTGAATTTACATCTCCTACAACTGGGGCAGGATGGGTTGCAGGGGACCCAAGGAACCAAGGAGCTGGGCCTGGCTACAGGAACCAGATACAAGGGAGGGGACTTGCCTGTGGCCACACAGTGACCTAGGGAGTCTACCTTCATATAGGGCCATACACTGGAAAATCAGGGTGACATGACTCTCTTGGTCTGGAGACCAAGGTGAAACCCAGGTGTCCTAGGTCTGCTTTCTGCTCCTGTGATAAAACACCATGGCCAAAAGCAACTTGGAGAGAAAAGGGTTAATTTCCATTTGTACCACTCAGTCCATCATGAAGGGAATCTGGGGCAGGAGTTCAAGGCAGGAATGTGGAGGCAGAAACGTGGAGGCAGGAACGGAAACAAAGTCCACAAAGACAGGCTGCTTACTAGCTTGCTCTTCATGGTTGATTTTCTTATAGCACTCAGGACCACCTGCCCAGGGGTGGTGCTGTCTCCAATGGACTAGATCTTCCCATATCCATCATCAATCAATAAAATGCTCCCTATAGACTTGTCTATAGGACATCTGATGTAGGCATTTTCTCAACTGAAGTTCCCTCCTCCCAAATGACCTTAGCTTATGTCAAGTTGACAGAAAAAACTAAGCAGTACACCAGTTAAGGGAAGCCACAAAACAAAAAAACAAAACAAAACAAAACACACAAAAAACCCCTACCATAGCACCTAGAGCAGACCCCAAGAAGCCCCCCTGTCTTCCCAAGCCAGACAAGCTACAAAGAGGAGTCTTCCTACCTCTTCGGCTTCTGAGGGTCCTACCTGATAAGGGCAGGGCTATGATGTGCTGTAGAGGGTTTTAGCATTCATCAAAGAAACACAGGGGATCAGTGGGGAACCCAGCTGCATACCTCACAGGCTAGGCTAGTCTTCTCAAGTCACTGAAGTGAAGGGTGGGGCTGAGGGGCCCAGCCTGGCTGGGTGGGTAGGAGAGGACCTGAGCCCAGCCAGGGTGAGGGATGCTGCAGGTAGCTTCTTTGTCCTCTATTTACCAAGGTGGGAACTTGGAGGGAAGAGCCTAGTGAGGTCTTTCTCTCCCTGCTTCCTCCTGTTCTTCCCATTGCCCTCTTCACCTGTCGCGCGCCATGGACTTCCCTTTCTCGCTTTTCTTTCTGCCTTCTGTTCCCGCTTCCCCTTTCTAGCCTTCATCTCTGCTTCTCTTCCCTGGACTTCCAGTTCCATCTAGGTTTCCTTTCTTCTCTACTGTCTTCCCAGCCCCCTTGCATCTGAGCTAGATCACCTGCCTTCTCACCTAAGTACCCAGGCAAAAACCTGGGAGTTTGTCTGAAGCAGTCTAGGGTGTGGCTCCTCCCATGAGTTGGGAAAACGAATTTCCCAACTCCACTGTCTTTGGAGGTTTTCAGGAGACCCCCTGCAAAAGCCTCTGGAGAACGGTGACAAGTGTGTTGGAATCCAGATGCCCGGAGTTCGGTAAGTGTGGGAAACAGAGGCAGGTAGGTGGGTTTGCTGTGACCCCCATTGCCACTGGAGAATGAGCCCGACTTTAGTTACAGCTACTGAGAGGGAGGTAGAACCCAGGTGAGGCCAGCAGATGAACAGCTGCCTCACATGCCAGCTGGGATGGGGCGTCCTTATGAAGAGGAGAAGAGGGGCAGCTATTCCATCTTGTGGGTTCCATCATATGTTTCACAGAAAAGCCACCATGCAGACAGCCCAGAGCTCCTGCCCCGGCAGCCCCCCAGACACTGAGGATGGCTGGGAGTCAGTCCTAATCAGGGGAGAGGTCAACTTTGGAGGGTCTGGGAAGAAGCGAGGCAAGGTAGGGGCGATGTGCGCCTGAGTGAAATCCACCATGTCTGGAATCCCCAAGTCTTACTTCCTCCTTAAAGCCCCTTACTGGGGCTTACTCACCCTGTGTCCATTCCTTATGAGCTGAGTGCAGAGATCCTGACCAGATGGGCAAAAGTCGAGAGTTGCTTCCTGCCCTGGTGATAATGGGAACCTTGAGGTTCAGGACTCCTGCCTTACTCTGTGCTCACAGGGGAAGGATATATTGCAATGACCATACTACCCAGAAGCCTTGCTCCAAGGAGGGAGGGTCTAAAGCCTGTCCTCCTGTGGCCTGCCTTGTTCCATATGCCCAGCCTCCTCCCCCATGATCAGAATCTCACAACCCAGTGCTGTCTACCATCTGGAACCCACCAGCCTCTTTCTTACCCTGCAGTTTGTGAAGGTGCCAAGCAGTGTGGCCCCCTCCATGCTCTTTGAACTCCTGCTCACTGAGTGGCACCTGCCAGCCCCCAACCTAGTGGTATCTCTGGTGGGTGAGGAACGGCCTTTTGCTATGAAGTCCTGGCTTCGGGATGTCCTGCGCAAGGGGCTGGTGAAAGCGGCTCAGAGCACAGGTAAGGAAGGCTCCCCCTGCCCGCAGTGGGTGAAGTCTACCCACATCACTTTGCGACCAAGACTATTCACCACAGACACACCCACTGGCCAAACTGATCTAGGCTAAGATTCTCTTCCCAGGTGATTCTGGGTTGTGTCAAGTTGACTAAGACTAAGCAGCACGGGGATCAGAGAGAAGCTCGACAGTGAGACCATGCACTCTCTTGCAGGAATCTGGAGTTCTGTTTCCAGCACCCATGTTAGGCAGCTTGAAACCGCCTGTAATTCCAGATCCAGGGAGATTCAACACCTCTGGTCTCCTCAGGCAGCTTTAGTCTTATGCATATGCGGACATATGCTTACATAATTTTTAAAAGAAATTAAAACTAACCAACATAGTGAGATAACTCAATGGCTAAAGACCCGAGCCCTGTCTCTAGCGCCCATACAGAAAGCTGAGCATGGAGGCCTGTGCTTGCAATCCCAAAGTTAAGGGAAACAGAGTTCCCTGTAGTTTGTGCCAGTGGCCTGCCAGACTTGCCCAACCAATCAGCTCTAGGTTCATCAGAGACCAACCTTCAGAGACAAGGTGAACAGCATCTCTTGCCTCCACATACACCTGTCCCCTGACACAGTTGTCCTGCACACATGAACATATATACCCCAAAACGGGGTTGGGAATTCTGAGTCTCTCTCTTTGTAGAAGTGGAATAGTTTGCAGTCAGATATTAGGTGGGAACTTTGTCATTTAGATGCTTGCCCAGAACAGGCTACAGGGGGCAGCATCTAGGACAAATCTTGGAAAAGGTCATAGACTGCCATACACATATCCTCCTGAACCTTACTATTTCCTTCAGCCTCACAGTGTTCCCTGTAGCTGGGCACGGTGGTACATACTGCATTGCCAGTACCCAGAACACATGGAATTACTTGAGTTGCAGAATAGCCTGCATTGTAGAAACCTGTCTGGGAGGAAAGAAGAAAAAAAAGTATTTCCCACTACTTGAATCCCTGGTCAGCCAGCTGTGAGGACTCCAGGACCCTTCTCTCCTCCTCCCATAGGTGCCTGGATCCTGACCAGTGCCCTCCATGTGGGCCTGGCCCGCCATGTTGGACAAGCTGTACGTGATCACTCTCTGGCTAGCACGTCCACCAAGGTCCGTGTGGTGGCCATCGGAATGGCCTCTCTGGATCGAATCCTTCACCGTCAACTTCTAGATGGTGTCCAGGTTAGTGACAGGTTCACAGGACCATGACTGATAGGGTTTAGTGAGCATGGGTGGACAGAGGAAGCTATAGGCAAGCTGAAGAACTGTACCACTCCCAGAGGCCCTGAAGGTTTTGAGAGGATGGACTGCAGTGGGATTACCTGGATTCCATAGGCCCAGCACTTCCCACCAGGTGGCAGCATTTCTCAGGAATAAGGGTGGCTGGCAACCTGCTGTACTCCCTACGGAAAGCCAGACTGATAACACTCTGGGCCCAGCCTGGCTGGATGACTGTCCTCAAGTCCCAGAAAACCCTGGCCAGGTGGCTTCTGCTCTCTGGTATTCATACACAACCCCCACCCTGTGGACTGTGTAAGGCATAACCAATTAGAAGCCCAGGAGGCCCCACTGAGGTGAAGTCTGGACCCCAGCCCAGAAGAGTCTAGAAGGTGGAGCTTACACAGCCCTGGCCCCAGCTGTTTCCATGGTTCACTCATTCCAGGGAGGCCCCCAGCCCAGCAGTCCAGCCTCTGTCTGCCTGAGGGGTGGGGACTCTGAGGCCTTGCTGAAGCCTCACCCAGGGCCCCAGCATGGCGTGCACAGCACAGCAAGGCCCAGCCCAAGCTGCTCCTGAGGTTTCTGGTACTCCATGTCTCCTTGGCACAGGAGGATACTCCCATCCACTACCCAGCAGATGAGGGCAGCATTCAGGGACCCCTCTGCCCCCTGGACAGCAATCTTTCCCACTTCATCCTTGTGGAGCCAGGCACCCTTGGGAGTGCGAATGACGGATTGGCAGAGCTGCAGCTGAGCCTGGAGAAGCACATCTCTCAGCAGAGGACAGGTTATGGGGGTAAGGCTCACTCTAGTTGCCCAGAGCAGCATCTTGGGGATGTAGACACAGAGATGTGGCACACATCAGTAAGAACTTGATGGAGAGAGTGGGTAAAGGCCTTCCAGGAAGGGGGTGGTGCTCCTGCATTCCTGAGCATAAAAGGCCTGGAAAGAAGAGCCGTCGGTGTGGGATGGGAGAGTGACACAGCTGGGCAATGTGGCCCTGGCTACGCAGCCACTTCCTGGCCAGACCTCAGGGCGGTTGCCACTGTTTTAATCGGCACTGCTCTGGCTGTAGACTCTGCTAGCCAATAGTCTTCCCAGAGGTGCAGTCCCTTCCACTGCCACCAGGGAGCAGAACTGTCTGAGGGAATGGGTACATCTGTGCCTAACGGAGGGTGTGAAAGAGAGATAGACTAGGAAAATATTAAAGGACGAACAATATTTATAAGCTACTATATCATTGCTTAGAAAGTGTGTGAATAATATATTAACAAACAACCATATAATTTTTTGGTAAAGCCAGTGCACTTTAACAGTGGAAGCAGATCTGTGTCTGAGACCACAAAGGCCTCCGTAGAACCACAGCAGATTGGGGCTGATCCTACCAGCTTCTCACCCTTTGTTGGCCCAGTGTGTCTCTTACAGTGCAGAGCAACTCTGTCCTATGCTGGTAGAGTGACTACCTAGCCACATATCTGCCCGTGAGATGTGGCAGGTACAACCAGGCTTCATTTCTCTCAAGTTACTTTGGGTTTGAGATGTCACCTGCCAGCTCTGGACAGTACAGATATAAGGTTGAAGTCTTGGGCTCATGGCTCAGGGATTTGATACACTATCTGGGTTCAGCCTTGCAGGGCTGGGGATATAGCTCGGTTAGTAGAGTGCTTGCCTTTTGTGCACAAAGCTCTGGGTTTAATCTCCAGCATAGAATAAACCAGGCAGTATGGCACATGCCTGTAATTCTAGCACTCTGGAGATACAAGCAGGGGATCATCATCCTTAAAGTACATTTTAAAATCAAGACCAGACTGAGCTTTATCAGACCCTGAGTTTAAGAAAAAAGAAGGAAGGAAGGAAGGAAGGAAGGAAGGAAGGAAGGAAGGAAGGAAGGAAGGAAAGAAAGAAGGACGCAAGCAAGCAAGCAAGCTTTGGCCAGGCCAGGCCAGGTGTGGAGAAACATGGTACCTGGAGATGTCTGAAGTTGGGGATGGTCCTGACTTCTCACTTTCTGAGCATCAAATGTCCTCATGGCTGCTCTGCCCACAGGCACCAGCAGCATCCAGATACCTGTCCTTTGCCTGCTGGTTAATGGTGACCCCAGCACCCTAAAGGTAAGGGCGGGGGGGGGGGGAAACAAATGCCTGGCTGGAGCCCTGAAGGATGTGGTGGGTTTCCAGGGCACCTTCAGGGTAGTGTGGAACATTTATCTGGGTGTCACCTTCTCTGCCTCCTCAGAGGATTTCCAGGGCAGTGGAGCAGGCTGCCCCATGGCTGATCCTGGCAGGTTCTGGAGGCATTGCTGATGTACTCGCTGCCCTGGTGAGCCAGCCTCATCTCCTGGTGCCCCAGGTGGCTGAGAAGCAGTTCAGAGAGAAATTCCCCAGCGAGTGTTTCTCTTGGGAAGCCATTGTACACTGGACAGAGCTGGTGCGTGCTGCTGGGGCTGCTATGGTCGTCTTTTGCCTCTGTCCCCCAGCCTCCCCTGAGTGGGAATGTTCTTCCTGAAAGTCCTGCAGGCCTAGCCTGTGCCCTTTCTTCTTATACACCTCGGAATTATCCAGGTCCTTGTGTAGCAGAGAGACCAGACAGCTAGCCTGGTCAGTCTGTGGGTGGTCCTGAGATAGGCTTGTGGGTTAGCAGGGACAAAGTGGTCCATCTGAGGACCCTTCTAGGACATATTTAGACCTCAAGTCTTCTTCCTGGTCTTAGCTACAGAACATTGCTGCGCACCCCCACCTACTCACAGTGTACGACTTTGAGCAGGAGGGTTCTGAGGACCTGGACACCGTCATCCTCAAGGCACTTGTGAAAGGTGAGCCAATTAGACCTGCCCTCAGAGGCAGCAGGACTGAGTAGTGTTCACAGTGGATACCTGTCAGCCCTTCCCAGGTAGGAAAGATGACTCACACATTCATGAAGCATTTCTGAAGTGTTCAGTTTGGTACCTTATAATCTAGCCTCAGGGCATTGTAACTGTCTCCAGTTCTGGAAATTTTCTATAACTGCCCCCCCCATCGCCAATAGCCTTAGCAATAACTTCACCTTGTCCCCAGGTCCTAGTCCCCTGCTTTCTGTCTAAGAATATGAACTTTGGGGCCAATTGATATGAATGGAATTACAGTCTGTGTTATTTGTACCCAGCTTCCTTCTTGAAGTACAATGTCCACAGACCTGTCCCCATGGCAGCCTGTGCCCAGTAGTCCCTCCTTCTTATGGCTGAGTTCTAATGTCTACTGTGTAGTTGTCCCATGGGCCTGTCCACTCAGCCACTGATGGATATGTTGGATTACCACCCAGGCTTGTCCATGTAGCAGGGCAGACCTGGAGCGGGTGTGCACAGGCTGGAAGATGGGAGAGGTAGTGCTGGGGAAGGAACTACCTGTATGTGCTTGGGAAATACCTGAGGAATTGGTCACTCTAAGAGGGCCTGGGGCATCTGGGGTTGGGGATGTGGCTCATTTGGTAGAATGTTTGAGTACCATAAACAAAGCCCTGGGTTTAATGGCAGCACCACATAAAGCAGATGTGGTAGTTTCTACCTGGTAGATAGGAGCTCAAGCAAATTGGCTACATAACAAATTCACAGTCAGCCCAGACTACAAAGGGACAGCTCTAGATTTAGTCATTCCCCTTCCCAAGATAGTGAGGCCCAGGAAGACACATACAGGACCACATGTGGTTTTCAGTGAGTCACACTTCCATGGAGGCAAAAGCCTGTTGCTCTTAACTCTGGGGCTTGTGGGTAACTGTGGCCTCTGGTGAAAGTGTCAGGCACCCCCATGGAAGAAATATGCTTGTATGAGAATGTACATCCCTGTCCTGCTCTTGGGCAAGAAGATGCTGGCCAGAGTGTTACATTACTGAAAGCATGCTTCTGCCTTACCAAACCATGGCCAGGGGTGTTCTGGGGTGCTGCCCCTGAATGCTTGGTCCTTATGCCTCTTTCTGCTGTCCAGAGGCAGCTGCCAACCCTATAAAGTCCTCATAGAGTTCTAGTCCCTCCCCTCCAGCTCTGTGGGACTCACCCCCACCCACAGCCTGCAAGAGCCACAGCCAAGAAGCTCAAGACTACCTAGATGAGCTCAAGTTAGCAGTGGCCTGGGATCGCGTGGACATTGCCAAGAGTGAAATCTTCAATGGGGATGTGGAATGGAAGGTGCTCTCCCCCTCCCCTGGCCTGACTTGGGAACACCAGACAAGGGAAAAACTGAAGTCTGAAGTAGTAGGATTTCAGGGGTGTCATCTGGGCCCATCTGTCTCAGATATTGCCCTGGAGGGGGTCAAGATAATATTAGGGAACACTCAAAGTCCATACTTTGGGGGAGTCCTAACACTCTTAGTGTCAACTCACCAGACCTTTCCTATCCCTGGCACCTAAGGCTAGCATGCTCTGCTGACCCATGCCTGCCCCAGCTTCAGGGAACATGTTGGGGATGTCCAGGGGAGGATATTCATCCTCTCTCCCTTCCTTTTATTGTCCTGATCTCTTCTACTGGGTGAATCCAGTCCTGTGACTTGGAAGAGGTGATGACAGATGCCCTAGTGAGCAACAAGCCTGACTTCGTACGCCTCTTTGTGGACAGCGGTGCTGACATGGCTGAGTTCTTGACCTATGGGCGGCTGCAGCAACTTTACCACTCTGTGTCCCCCAAGAGCCTCCTCTTTGAACTGCTGCAGCGTAAGCATGAGGAGGGGCGGTTGACACTGGCTGGCCTGGGTGCCCAGCAGGCCCGGGAGCTGCCCATTGGTCTGCCTGCCTTCTCACTCCACGAGGTCTCCCGTGTACTCAAAGATTTCCTGCATGACGCCTGCCGTGGCTTCTACCAGGATGGGCGCAGGATGGAGGTGAGTAGAGCCAGGTTGGCCCAGGGTGTGCTGGATAGGCTGGATGTCGATGCCCTTTTCTGCAGGAGAGGGGGCCACCCAAGCGGCCCGCAGGCCAGAAATGGCTGCCAGACCTCAGTCGGAAGAGTGAAGACCCTTGGAGGGACCTGTTCCTCTGGGCTGTGCTGCAGAATCGTTATGAGATGGCCACATACTTCTGGGCCATGGTGAGCAGCCACTTTATTCCACAGCTCCCTTGGACATCTCAAGAGGCAGACTGGGGAAGGTTGGGACAGTGGGGCTACCTCCTAAAACCCTTTCTCTCCATCTTCCAGGGCCGGGAGGGTGTGGCTGCTGCTCTGGCTGCCTGCAAGATCATAAAGGAAATGTCCCACCTGGAGAAAGAGGCAGAGGTGGCCCGCACCATGCGTGAGGCCAAGTATGAGCAGCTGGCCCTGGGTGAGTCACAGGCAGAGGGCCTCTGCCTCTGGTCCCCTGCAGATATCTCTGATAGCCACGTGGCCCAGGGTAACCCCCATGGCCTCCTGTGTAGAGCAAAACACAGAGCATTTCCTCCTGGGGATGGAAATTGGTCAGGAAGTCCTGACCAGGAGGTGGAGGCCCTCACAATCCTGAGGGGAAGGGGAAGGGGAAGAGGAAGAGGAAGGGCCAGAAAAGGTCAGAGGTTGGGAAGGGCCCTGAGGTCAGTGGGACTCTCAGTGGCCTTGTAGCAAGGGAGGCCTGGCTAAATCCTAGGACGTAGATTAGGGCATATACTGCAGAGGACAGGGTGGGGTGATGGGATCCCCAGGGACCAGACATCAGCACTCCATCCCAGCAGCTGGTTCTGTGCACAGATCTTTTCTCAGAGTGCTACAGCAACAGTGAGGACCGTGCCTTTGCCCTGCTGGTGCGCAGGAACCACAGCTGGAGCAGGACCACGTGCCTGCACCTGGCCACTGAAGCTGATGCCAAGGCCTTCTTTGCCCATGATGGTGTGCAAGTAAGTGGCTGATCAGCCTAAGGATGGCCAGGGAGCAAAGAAGGTTGGCAGAGCCCAGGCTACACAGACAGGACACTGAGGTCCCTTTGTTAATGTCCCAGCCTGAAGCTTTTAGCCCATGTCCAAGCTATGTAGGGGAGGGACCAGGAGAGTGGCTGAATTTCAACTTCCTCCATCAAGAATACTTTCCTGGCTTGGTTCTTGGGCCCAGCAACACCTGTTCTCAGTTTGGTTGTCTATAACCCCAATCCATAAGAGCTGGGGGTGTGGCTCATTTGATTGTGTGGCAACATGCTTGAAGACCTGGGTTCAATTCCCAGCACTCAATAATCCAGGTGTAATGGCACATGTTAGCAATCTTATCACTACGGAAGTAGAAACAGAAGGCTCAGGAGTTCCAGGCCATCTTTGGTTATGTAGTTGATAGTGATAGTTATCCTAGGTTACAGGAGACTTCTCCAAAGAAAAAAGAAGAAAAGGCAGGCAGGCGGGCTTCAAAACAATCAAACACATCCTCCTATAAAGAGTCTGCCCTTCTGCCTGAACAGGTGCTCCAGGAGGGGGCTTGAGAGGAGTCTGGGAAGGGCATATCAGGTACACAGCCCTTTGTGAGTGAAAGTGTGGTGACAAGCAACCAGAACATGGGACTTTATTCTAGGCATTCCTGACCAAGATCTGGTGGGGAGACATGGCCACAGGCACACCCATCCTACGGCTTCTGGGTGCCTTCACCTGCCCAGCCCTCATCTACACAAACCTCATCTCTTTCAGGTAGGTTGATATAGGCAGGAGCAGGTGCCAGTCTCATTGTTCTCATGTCTCACAGCCTTATGTCTGATTGGCTATGTGAGGCCCCCCTTCTATGTTGGTCCAGTATTTTCTTTGGTCTATGTGCTTGGAATATTCTGTGTTGCAGTGAGGATGCCCCGCAGAGGATTGACCTGGAAGATTTGCAGGAGCCAGACAGCATGGATATGGAAAAGAGCTTCCTATGCAGCCAGGGTGGCCAGTAAGGAGTGACAGGGGGTGAAGGGGACAAAGAGATACAGGAAGGATGCAAGAAGTGGAGAAGGAAGGAGCTAGAAAACAGAAAGATAGAGTGGGCCTGGAAACATAGGGGGCAGAAAAAAGCAGAGGAGACTGTGAGCTAGAAGGGACAGAGCAGGGCTAAGAAGGTAGGGGAGGGTGGGGGCTAAGAAGAATGGAGAATGTGGGGGGAAGGATGGAGAGAGAGTAAAGACTACGACTAGGCAGTGGCCAGCTGCCAGACACGTGGTAGACAGAGTCAGGCTCCCATGGGGTACTGTGGTTTAGTACATCCTCACCATGGTGACCTTTGCACTCACACAGATTGGGGAAGCTAACAGAGGCACCAAGGGCTCCAGGCGATCTAGGCCCACAAGCTGCCTTCCTGCTCACACGGTGGAGGAAGTTCTGGGGCGCTCCCGTGACTGTGTTCCTGGGGAATGTGGTCATGTACTTCGCATTCCTCTTCCTGTTCACCTATGTCCTGCTGGTGGATTTCAGGCCACCACCCCAGGGGCCATCTGGGTCTGAGGTTACCCTCTATTTCTGGGTGTTCACACTGGTGCTGGAGGAAATCCGACAGGTTAGTGGCCAGCATGGCCTGCTCCTGGGCTCTGCAACTCAGGCTATGTTATATGTGCCTCAGGTGGGATCTGCTCTGGGGGAGCTAGGACTTTTTAATCTATAGAACAAGACCACCGTGTGGCTTTTCTGTCAACCCATTCTACTGAGTCCTGGTCCTGGTCACAGAGTGAGCCCCAGTCCCAGATCCAGACCAAGCTCCCAATCTTAATCAGATTAAGTCCTAATCCTAGTCACAGACTGAGTCTTAGTCATCAGTTTGACCCCTGATCCCGGTCACAAACAGAGCTCCAGTCCTAGAGCCAACCTGAGCTGACTTCAGCTCCATCCTGAGTCCTGATCTCTGCTCCAGATTGATCATGATCATGCTTCCCTAGTCAGAGTCTGAACCCTGACCTGAGTCATTGGCTAAGTCCAGACACTCAATGGAAACTGACCCTGAATTTCAGCTGGAGACAGTCCTGACCCTAAGTTTAGATTGACCTCATTTTTTTTTTTTTGTCCCCAGACTTATCCCTGAAATCTCTTCCATTGAGACCTCTAGTTCTAGCCATACAGTGGGTGCTAGTCATCAACTGACTCTGATTAACTTGGAAACTGAGCTCCGAGTCATGCAGATTCCACCCTGGTCTCAGCAAGAGAGATCTGGTACTGCAACTAGGTTTTCTCCCTCTGTCAGGGCTTCTTTACAGATGAGGACACACACTTGGTGAAGAAGTTCACTCTGTACGTGGAAGACAACTGGAACAAGTGTGACATGGTGGCCATCTTCCTGTTCATTGTTGGTGTCACCTGTAGGTCTGTAGTCTCAGGTGGGCTGGTGGGCAGGCTCTAGGAGACCTCCTTAGCTCTCTGAAACCCCAATGTGGTCCTGGAACCTGGTTTTTGGCCAGTTGACTAACATACTTTGTGTCTGGGGGGAAACCTCTTGCCCTCCATGGGCACCAGCAGCCTTATCCAGCCTTTGTCCCTCTCCAGAATGGTGCCCTCGGTGTTTGAGGCTGGCCGGACCGTTCTGGCCATTGACTTCATGGTGTTCACACTTCGGCTCATCCACATCTTTGCTATTCACAAGCAGTTGGGTCCTAAGATCATCATTGTAGAGCGGATGGTGGGTTCTTGGGTCCCTGACCCTTGAGAGGGGTAAGGTACTGGGAACCCCACCCTGGATAGATGGGGAACCTAGATTCAGTGGATAGTGACCTTAAACCTGTCAGGGGGGGTGAGTCTCTGGGGATCCCAGCCCTAGATAGCTGCAGAGCCCAAAGGAACACGGACTCATAGATGGGAAGGGCACTGAGATATGACTTTGGATGGGGATGAGGTACCAACTGTGTCCACATAGAGGAGTGACCCTTATAACTCCAGCTTTGGGTACATATCAGCCCATGGGGCCCTAATCCTTGGTGAGATGAGCTCCCCAGAACCCTAACTTGGGTTAGGGGTGAGCCCTCTGGAACCTTGACCTTGGGTGGTGGTGAGCCCTGTGGTATCCCAATCCTGGGACCATCCACTCTAGATGGGGGGGTAAGTACTGAAACCCCAACCAAGTTAATGGTAAGAACCCTAACACCTCAGGCCTGGGAGGGGATGACTTCCCTGGGACTCTAACCCTAGGTTGAGGTGAAACCCTGGAACTCCAACCCTAGGTAAGGGTAAGCTCTCTGAACTCCACCCTGGGGTAGAGTGAGCCCCTCTGTGACCCCTGAGGGCAAGTTCCCACCCAGGCCATCCATGTCCTGTGACCCTCCCCTTGCAGATGAAGGATGTCTTCTTCTTCCTCTTCTTTCTGAGCGTGTGGCTTGTGGCCTATGGTGTGACCACTCAGGCCCTGCTGCACCCCCATGATGGCCGCCTGGAATGGATTTTCCGCCGTGTACTGTACAGGCCTTACCTGCAGATATTTGGGCAAATCCCTCTGGATGAAATTGATGGTTTGTACTGAGCCAGGAAGGGTGGGCTGATGGGCTGGTGGGCTTTAGGATATGTACTCCTCCACTGGGACTTCTGGGTTACCAGGTCCCTAGCAGAAAATGGTTGAGACAATGACATCCTAAGTCTAGACCACAGGTCTTGCATACCTTCTAGGCTGAGATCCAGAGTAGAGTAAGACACAGCCAGCCATGGAGTGCCTGCCCAACCTTTCCCTGGCTGGGAAGTAGGCCATGAATATGTAAGGCTGGCTTTCTTCTTGGGGAGGTCAAGTGATGTAATGGGCCTCAACTTGTGTGTGTTGTTTGTTGGTGTCAGTGGTGTGAGGCTTGTCTGTAATTATGAGTGTCCCCTCAAGCTAAGCCCTACACCTAGTTAGGGCTGATGGAGATTCTAGGGGCTTCATGACAAGTGGATGCAACTCTGTACTTACTGCAGGGGTCTTGTGGGTAGTTGAGGAAGAAAAACCCTGGAGGTAGAATGGGGACCTAGGAGGACCTAAGGTGGCTAAGATTGGGTAAACATAGGGATTCAGCTCATTAGGCCAGAAAGAGTCCCAGAGAATGGGGGATCAGGACAGAGGCTCCATATGTCACTACTGGATATGTGCAGGCTTAGAGATAGGGTACAGATTCAGGCATTGGGGGAGGTGTCAGTGTTCTGGCTAGTGTCAAGGGACTTAGTGTTATCTAACCATGAGGTCATGCAGTTTGGATGGTCAATAGAAGCCTGACCCCAGCCATCCTGGGGGAGTCCATTAATGAGGCCAGGTCAGCAATTACAACACTTGATGAATATTTGTCAACAGATGACAGTGAGATTGGAGCAAGCCCAGGCCTCCAGGGACAGAAGGGCTGGAAATTAACTTCTAATTGGGGTGTTCCCAAGCCATACTCTGGGCTATTTCCTTCTCCCCACCACACTGCCTTTGGTGTTTGTTCAACCTGAGCCATCACTTTTCTAGGCCATTAGCTTAAACAGACATTGCCTGTTTCTCCCTTCCCCAGAGCCATATGGCCTCATGGCCCCAGTCCCTGGGGCCAGGAAGAGGAAGGTGAGTACCCCAGCCAGGGCATCTCTGGGGTCTCAGTTCCATAGTAACTACAACTCTGGTTTCTTCTCCACGGGTATTGAGAAACAAGCTCAGGCCACTTGGCAGCTTAGAAGGGTAGCAGGAGGAGGGATGGAGGCCACTGCAGGGTCAGCAGAACCACTATAGATGTAGCAGGCAGAGTGAGCCATGAAGCAGACTTACCAGTCCCTACACACTGTGTCGACTATGCCAAGAGTGGACTGGTATTCTCTAACATGCCTGTGCTCAGAGGGAAACTGAGGCCTGGGCAGTTCTGGCCCAGTCTGCGGGGTATAGAGACCTGGGAAGTTCTCACTTCTCCTCCACATCACACACTTCCTCCTTTCCCCACCAGTCTCTGGGCTTCAGGGCCAAATTTGTGTTCAATCAGGCCAGGCAGGCCTTCTCAGACCTCAGGCAGGATTTATGGCTTTTCAAAGGAGAGCTTGGCCACCTCTCTGGGGCACCTAGGGAAGGGATGAGAGCTGGAGAAACAGAACCTGGAGCAGATTCATAGGTTGGGGGTTGGGGTGGCTGCTAAGGCAGGCTTGGAGGGGGCAAGACAGGATTTGGCACTCTCAGATGACTGAATGCACCCCTCCATCCAGTAGAACACACCACAACTCACATGGCTTGACTGGTCATAATAATTCACTGGGTAAACAAGGCAGAGATTTGTCCCAGAAAGACAAGAGAGACAAGGTCAGAAGAATGCCAGTACATACAGGTAGACCTTGAAAGTCAAATATCCAAAAATTGTACCCCAAGGCAGAGCTAGAAGAACAGAAGCAATAACTCACTGAAGTGTACAGGTGGTGCACCTGCATGCACGCATGCATATATGCCCACACCTACTTACACAGACAGTTATGCACCAGCACACAGCACAAAGACAGCCCTGCAGGCTTGGCCAGGGTGGGGCCCTGCAGGGGAGAAGCATAAATAAAAGGAATGGCATTTATAAGGGGCTAGCATTGTGACTCAGAGTCCTTGGGGGGATGCCCAGGGGTTTGGATACTCCCATTATGGGCAGAGATACCTTGAAAGCTGCAGGTTTACAACCATCTAGGAACCCTGAGTGGGAAAGGCATGGGCAGGAGGCCTTTCTAGGGTAGATGGAGGAGTCGTTTCATGCAATGACAGACAGGAAAGGGTTCCATGACTCTTGTTCTCACTTCCTGACATGGACTGGGCTTACCTCCATGGAATCCCAGTGGAGGAGGCAGACAATGAACAGTCCACCTGTTGGTTTGGTGCAACTAGGCCTGGCTTCTCACAATGGGACTTTTGGTGCTTAAATTAGCTAGCCCCATGTGAATCAGGCCCCTGGCCACTTACCCAGCACCTGCACCCTGTTGGCCTCCGCTTGGAACCACACTCCCAGTCTGAAGGTGTCTGTTTGCCTTGCAGAGGCCCGTGTGAACTGTTCTCTTCACCCTCTGATGCTGGAGAGCTCAGCTTCCTGCCCTAATCTCTATGCCAACTGGCTGGTTATCCTCCTACTGGTTACCTTCCTGCTCGTCACTAATGTGTTACTTATGAACCTTCTGATCGCCATGTTCAGGTACCCTCCTGCCTCTACTTCTGGCCACCTGACCTCACTAATTCATGCTACCTCTTAGTAGGGCTGGTCTTAGGGTGCTGACAGAGACAGGATCCATGTCCTAGTATTTTGCTGCTGTGTCCACTGGGCTGGATCTGCAGTAGAAAGCCAACACTCCAGGTATGGATACCTGGAGCCCACCCCTACTGTCTATCCTGTTAGGAAGGTGACTCTAGAGGGTTGGGGACTCAGAGCTGTATAAACAACCCCACTGAGTAAGCTCCACTGCAGTATACCTGAGAATGTGTCTGAGCTGTGCTGGACCCCCATCCTAGCCTCCTTTCTGTTGCTTTGATAAAATTGACTGAAAGCAACTTAGGAGAAGAAAGGGCTTATTTCATCTTACACTCCCAGATCACAGTCCATCACCAAGGGAAGTCAGGTCAGGAGCTCAAAGCAGGAACCACAGAGGAGTGCTGTTTGCTAGCTCCTCAGGCTCATGTTTAGCTAGACTTCTTACACAGCTCAAGACCTCTTGCACAGGGAATGGTGCAGCTCACAGTGGGCTGGGCCCTCCTCCATCGATCGAATTCCCCCTAGACACGCCCACAGCTCAGTGGATCTTGACAGTCCCTCTATTGTGGTTCCCTTCTCAGATGACTCGAGGCTCTGTCAGGTTGATGGTTAAAGCTAACTCTGTTAGCCTCCATCTTTCTGAAAGGGCTCCCAGCACAGCCTAGCTACCCACTGGATGCAATGGGGGATGCCATATAAGGAGTGGGAGGTGAAGGGGTGAGATGAAGGATGGAAAATGGGATACAGGAGGTTGCATGTGGGATGGGAAGTAGATGTCGAGTTAAGGTAGGGTGCTTTCATGGCAGGAAGAGCAGCTTATAAGGCAAGGGCTTGACTATGTGCCCTGTAGCTACACATTTCAGGTGGTGCAGGGCAATGCAGATATGTTCTGGAAGTTTCAACGCTATCACCTCATCGTTGAATACCATGGACGACCAGCTCTGGCCCCGCCCTTCATCCTGCTCAGCCACCTGAGCTTGGTGCTCAAGCAGGTCTTCAGGAAGGAAGCCCAGCACAAACGGCAACACCTGGGTGAGGCCCCAGGCCGGATGCCAACGCTCCTGAGGGTCCCAACTGACAGAGGAGACCACAGAAGGGGCTGGGGTTTCTCATCTAGGCCCTTCCCAGGTTAACCAAAGTTCCAGGTACAGACTAGACAGCCAAAAGGTCAGCTTGTCCCCTTGCAGCCTGAAATCCCCGCATGGGGCTTATTTGTGTCATCCACCTGGTGCCCTGCCCGATGGCATCTGCCCTTGGTCAACCTTGCACTAGCCTGGGCCTGGGCTCTCCCTAGGGGCCCACATACCTCTCCAAAGCTTGCTGTTGTTTCCCACATTGCCAGAGAGAGACTTACCTGACCCCTTGGACCAGAAGATCATTACCTGGGAAACGGTTCAAAAGGAGAACTTCCTGAGTACCATGGAGAAACGGAGGAGGGACAGCGAGGGGGAGGTGCTGAGGAAAACAGCATACAGGTGGGGCCTCCTGTGGGACAGCAAGCATATGAGGCTCAGGCTGGCAGGTGCCATCATTTCTGTTCACGAGCTGCCCAGAGATGTAGAAAGGGCCCTGCCAGGAGGCAGGTGAACTCAGATGCAGCAGGGCTGAGCTGACCTCGATCAGCTGGGTATTATGAGGGGCAGTAAGTCTGAGAGGGGCTCCCCATTGTGAACACATGAAGGTGGGGGAATATCTAGCCTTTTCAGTATTGGGTGGGGTTTTCTGAACTGCCTTTAGGCTGGGTGAGTCCATCTAGTGGCAGTAACAGGACCTCTGAGCTGGGGAAACATGGCTGGGTCACAAGATCCAGCTCTCTTGCTCTAGGAGGAAGGTGTATATGTGTGGGGGTTGAGAGCATAAGCCCATAATTAGGCATCTTTCTGCAATGGGACTCTCTTCCTCCTCTCTCATGTCTGAAGATCCACCCCCAGGTGGTGCTAGGTGGTGGAGGGGCTGTCCCCGAACGCTTACAGGGATGACCGGCTGTTTATCCTATTGCTTGGTGGTCTATTTTGCCTTACTTCAAGAAGGACACTCACTCTCTTGGAGGGTACAGAAGTGCTCCATATTCATAGACAGGGCCCAGATATCTTTATCCCAAGATAAAGACTGGAAGGACAGTAGAGCAAGAGGCAACATCCGACTGAGGCCCTCCCACCCCCACTCCGAGAAAGCAGTTAGGACTCCCAGGCTCCCCCTTGTGGAGTGCCATGGAAGTGTCACAACTGCGGCTGGCCCTGCTTTCCACAGAGTGGACTTGATTGCCAAATACATCGTGGGGCTGAGAGAGCAAGAAAAGAGGATCAAGTGTCTGGAGTCACAGGCAAGCTAGCAACCCACTATCCACTTTCCTTCCTGGGGTGGTGACATCCTTCTGGTTCTGTGAGAATTACCACAGCCCCGTATCAGCTTTCTGATGGGTAGCATTAGGGCCTGGACAGAGTGGAAGGATTATGGGCAGGACAGGTGAGACCTCAGGGCAGAGGCATTTGTTAGCCTATGCCTGTCCCTGCCCCAACTCACTTTAGAGACCCACTGTGCTTCTAGAGTTGGTCCAACAAAACCTAGGATCAGCATCACATCCGGTCACCATCCCTTATCACGCACTATGGGGGGACCTGGTCCAGAGTGTGGAGTCCCAGGGCAGCAGTAGCCCTGGCAGGAGGGCAATCACGTGGGAGGAAAGCAACCCCTGCCCCCAAGTAACCCCCTCAACCCCCAGCACCCCCCGGCCACCAAAGTCCCAGTACCTCCCTTGGCTTTCTCCAGGCCAACTACTGTATGCTCCTCTTGTCCTCCATGACTGATACACTGGCTCCAGGAAGCACCTACTCAAGTAAGTGTTGGTTCAGGCCATGGGAATGAGATGGGTATGGGCCCCTCCCTTCGGCCACCAGATTAGGGCAAGAGAAAAGCTGTGGGCTGCATATCAGGTCCTGCCTTCTCCACCTGTGCTAGAGGTTCCTGGTACCCTTGGCAGGGCACTGTTCCTGAGGCATACAGGTGCCCAAGGCACAGCAGGTTCCCCAAGGCTCTGCCTAGCACTGACCTTGCTAGCCTCATCACTTTCCATGTCCTGGCTCTTGCCTCACTCCTGCCCTGCCCCAGCTGGGGCTCTCCAGCTGAGGGTCCTTTCCTCCTTTCTTGCTCCCAGGCTCTCAGAACTGTGGTCACAGGAGTCAGCCAGCCTCTGCTAGAGACAGGGAGTACCTAGAGGCTGGTATGCCACCCTCAGACACCTGAAATGGAGAAACCACTTGCCCTAGAGGCCCAGACCTGGCCAAGCTGAGCTTTTGGGTCATATCAACCTTCCCCTACTCCCAGCATCCTGGAGAAATGGTCTTCAAGACCTTGCCACAGACCACTTCTTGGATATCCTTCCTATGAAAATGAAACTCATGTCTTTGCATCTATCTGGAAGCCCCAGAGGTATTCTTTCTGGCAGGGGAAGTTTTTTCATGTCCTACCTAAAGCTTTCACCAGCTTGGACTGGACAGCTGGAACTGGCCAAGTCCCACACAGGAGGACACCATCTGCCTGGATGGGTACTTAGGTCTAGCCTCTGTCTTACCCTGAGTTCCTAAAAAGCCAACGTCTTAAACACTAGAGGTTTCTTTCTGTCATCTGACCCATTCTTCATCAGCCAACCAGCTTCTAGAGGGCAAGACTCGGATCTACTGTAATCAGCTCCCATTTTTCAGCCCCCACAGCATTATTTGTGTGATCATTCTGGCACAAACCCCAAGATACTGCTCAAGGGTATCCAGTGCTATTTTACTTTCTATAAAGCCCGTAGATCACCACAACTCAACTAAACTGGACCACAGGGGTGGCTAAACCAACATCTCAAACACCTGAAGAACATGGAGGGTTATCTGACCCAATGAATGGTATCTCTGTTCCTTCCATTGTTCTTCAAACTAAATGACCACCCAGGTCCTTTTTAGGGGAACTCAGAATGGGGACTACAGAGGCTGGGGCAGACTTGGTGCTTAGCAGGCCAGGCTAGCTAACCTGGTCCAAGTCCATAGCCTCCACATGAAATACTCGTCCTTCTCCTCCTCCTGACCTACCATCAGCTGTGTCTTACACAGAGGTCACAAATCCTAGAGACATACACCTGGACACCAACCATATGCTGGCTCACAACTTATTCTCTTCCTATAGCCTGTGGTCTGTACAGGCCTAGTGCTGGGAACGCACTGGTGTCTGGGGATGGTGGACAGATTAGGCTTACCCACTATTATCAAGGGCACAAGGCTGAGCACCGCTATGAGCCCACTCCCTCTGGGTAGGTTCACCAGTGACAATGTAAATGACCATGGCAAACCTTCACTGGGGCGGTAAAGGCAAGGTGAGGCTGGCAGAGATGTGGTCCTGTAGTTAGCTGCCCAGGGCTGTTTAGACAGAACTATTGAGTGGGGCCCAAAAAACTTCCACAAAATTCAAGATATTTGAAACCTTTATTATTCACCCCAAAACACTGGGGCACAAAGGTCTTCAAGGTCCCCTGACCCACAATTCCCAGTCTCTGCCAGAGCTGCTGCACACATACCCCTACTACAAATAGTCCACACCTTCCCACCTGGACTGGCCAGGTGAGGGGGTGGAGTGATGGCACTGCAGTCAAACTGAGGGTCCTCTCTCAGACCCTGTACCCTCTGGGTTACTGTCTCTGTTCCGAAAGTGGTCTCTGCTTCTCTTTTTGCTGCCATGGAAACCAACAGCCTTCATACCTATGGGGCCTGATGGGGACTCAGGATGGGCAGCTTCTGAAGGTACCACCACCTCTGGCTGTACCTGGTGGCCACTCCATTCCTCAGCCTCAGGCCCAGCGAGATGGGCTAGCTCCACAGAGGCCTCACTCCCAGCACCTGACACAACCCCCTTCTTTAGGACTCTCTTCCTCTCAGTCCTAGCCTCACTGCCCCGCACTGGTTTGGTGAAGACCACTCTTCCCTCCCCACAGCTAGAGGGGTCCTGGTTGAAAGAGGGCACATAGTCTGTGGGGGACGCCTGGTTTCGGGAGCTCAGGAAGGCCAGGGCAGCATCACGATTGCTCTGCTCACTGGCTTCAGACACATCTTCCAGACTGTATTTGGTCCATCGCTCAGGGTGTGAAACATAATCAGGGACAGGGAGTACTCTGGTCGGGCCAGTGCTCCCATGCACTCTGCTCAGGCTCCTTGCTGGAGTCTGACTTGGGGGAGCCACAGGTCGCTTGAAGCTGCCATTGTCACTCACACTGGTTTGGGGAGCAGAGCATGGTGCCTGCCGGGCTGCACTCTCCAGACAATCAAAGATACTGTGGCTGCGCTGGGAGAAGGTAGAGCTCATGCCTCGGAGGTGGAACGGCTGCACTGCAGTGGTGGGGATGCCCGTGGGGGGCGAGGGAGGGTCATCAGGGCCGGAGTCCTCCTGGCCCTCCCCGGAAAGCCTCTCTGGGGACAACACTTGGACCTCTGCACCACTAGGTAAGCTGAGGTCCGAGTCCGAGTCGCTGAGGGAGACGGTGTCAGAAGGCAGGGTGTCATCCTCCGTGGGTTCCTCAGCCTCCAAGCCAGCCTCTGTCTCCGCCATACGACCTGACACCCGCCCCACCTGTAGCAAAGCAGTCCCAGTTCCGCGTGAGAGGTGTACTTAAGGCCGCACCCCTCCCCGTCCTCCCAGGCTCCCGTCATTCACCTCCACTGTGAGCCAGGCGCCTCTACTCAGCCAGACGTGATGCCTCGCGAAGCTGGGTGGCTAAAGGGTATCCTAGCACGCACAGATGTGGAGCTGTAGGTTAGGTGGGGTTAAGGAAAGAGTGAACCATGAGGTCATAACAGTGTGGACATACAATAGATGAGCGCTGGGAGATGCTGGTGACAGGGGATCTCCATTAGCTGCTCGTCCCATCACGGACTCTCAGCAAAGCGCAGCCTCTCTGGGTACACACTGCAGGGCACCACCCAGGTCCGGAAGAAGGGCTGGCAGAAACAGGCAAGGGACTGGCCTGGTCGCGGCCCTAGGGAGGCCAGTGCTCACCGTTCCAGCGTCCGTACACGCTCCAAAACCCTGCCGCCTTTGCCGCGGCGTCCCGCCAGTTTCCCGGGATTCCGGCCTGTTCAAGCTCGCTTGGGTTCCTGGGAAACCGAGTCTCTGGCTATCAGAATATCGGGGCTTCAGCGCCCGAGAAACTACAACTCCCAGAAGGCAATGCGTCGCTGCCCTACGCTTGTCAAGACTAATAACCTTAACACGTGTGCCATCCCGAAGATCGGAGTGCATACGGAAGTCCACCCAGAAATGACGACAGGGGAAAAGGCGGAGCCACGATTCCCATAATACTTCAGGGCTAACTGCCGATCGCAAAGGGTTGAGGCCTGCAGCGTCGTCTGTCGGAAGTCGCCTGGGCCCGATCTGACACAAGGAGGAAGTGCGTCACCACGCACTGGGAGCGCCAACCAATTTTCTAGACACTTCCGGCCCTAGACGGAAGTGGTGCGGGTCTTTTGCTTTGTTGGCTTTCTGGAGTGAGGCGGGACCAAGGTCCTGGTTGGCTCTTGGCATATAGAGATGTAGTGGTCCCTGGGGTGGGTTGGTTGGGGACTTCAGAAATTCGAGACCGCTACCCTGGGCACTGCCTGTGTTTCCTGACGCAGGCACGGACGCTTTAGCTGCTGGACCCTACTATTCAACTCACACATAATCCTCCTCTAGGCCTGGGGCTGTTTTCTTGCATCCTTAGGGACCATAGCCTGAGGATCTACGGGGCTGCTGCATGCTCCGCTTCTTTCCTGTTCTTAAAGCTGTGCAGCAGGCCTCCAACAGCCTTGGCCCGGTGCCCATGGGCCTCACAACATAGAATATAAAGGGTTCCTCAGACCAGAAGCAATCCAAACATGGAACAGGTTGCACAGGTGTGGGGGATGGAGGTGGCCGAGACCTAGAACGCCCTAGTACAAGCTTAGGGCTCACCGACAAATCAGCCTAATGGGAGGCTGCTAGAAGCTGGGACCTGAATCTTAGCCAGGACCTCTCTAGTGGCCAATTAAATATGCCAGCAGCCTGGGGGAGAGGTGCAGGCAGGAGTCAAAGGGAAAGAGACAGTGGTGGTTGCCCCTGGCGTCCGGGAGGTTGCTTACGCTGATCCTCAGTTCACAGGGCTAAGTGGACTGCCTACTTGCCTTTTACTTCCAGACACAAGCTAGAGATACTCAGCTCAGTGGAATATTTCCAAGCACCTAGATACCTGGGATGGGGTGATGGTCTAACTTTTACTATCCTGTCCCTCAAAAGGAGGATGTTCTTGCAGCTTATCCCCAACATTCTGTACTGAATTTCCCTGCTATGTGGCTCCTACCCGATTCAGCCTGACTTGGCATGTCCAACAGATGAATGGAAATGAGGTCAAGGCTGGTGTAAGGTCAGCATTGTGCTCCCAGTCCAGGGAGGTACAAATAAGGGAGTACTCACATGGAGTGCTCCCAGGGTCCCAGCCCTCCCCACCCACTGTGTTCCACAGCCTCTATTGGACCTGCTCACCCTGTGCCTGGCAAAGTTCAGAGCTGATGAGCCAGGTCTCTGACACCACTGGCACAGGAAGAGGTCTGGCAGTCCCATTAGCATGCCTGATTTTTTTCCTCCTTTATTAAATGACTGTCTCAAGATTTAATTACAGTTGAAGGTGACACGTTAGAAAGAATAAGTGCATTGAAGGCATAAGAGTGCTTACAAACCCAGCTCTTGAAATGGAGGCAGGAAAGGGACAAGGATTAAAAAGATGTGAGCGATGTGACCCACAGTGGGCAGCGTGGGTGAACATGGCCCTCTAGCTTGGCTACACAGCCTCTGGGCAAGTAGCTGTGGAGGAGGTTTGGCTCAGCAGGCAGAACTCTCCAGGGGTCCCAGAAGTACAGGGCCCTGCAAGCCAGGGCCAGCTCCATCCTTACATCCCCACATATGCCACCTATGTGTGATGTCAGCTCCCAGAAGGTAACAGGAAAAGTTCAGAACAAAAAACCTCAAAAGTAAAAAGGCTAAGTGTAGCAGAGTAATACAGAAATATTATATACACAGACCATGGCCCCCAAGGTAGCCTCTGGTCACTCCAGGGACCCTCTGGTGCAAAACAAAGGGCCTTAGTACACGGAGCTGTTCCGGATGCCACAGCACAGCACCATGCTCAGAATCATCTCGAAGATCTGCAGGAGGGAGGAGCACAGTCAGCACCTAACACCCTGGGAAGGATGCCACCCACCCACCCACCCACCTACCCGAGGCCCTGTGCTTACCATAATGACGGCTACCACAATGGCCGCAATTCCGATGAGGTACAGCTTCCCAGAAAAGAGCTCGTCGATTTTCTGATGGCAATCATCCTGTAGGGATGGCAAGAGGGTGGTTAGCAGTCAGAGGCTAAGTCACAGACACCACCCTACTCAGTGACTGAGCCTATGTATTATAGCTTATCTTCCATCAAAAAATAAATTTAAAACACATGGACCTGCTGCCCATGTCCTTTTCTATCATGGGGTAGTGTTTTTGACCTCACTAGCACCTAGGGACCACTCAAGAGAACAGGATGTTGCAGGGGCTAACCCAGGCTGTCAGGACCCTGTACCCCACTAAGTGAGATGGTCTATGGGCCTTTCAGAGGTCCTGCTCAAAGTGCTGATCTTCTTGGTGGGCCACATCCCCTACCTACCACCCAGGCTATGACACCCATCCCCACTCCATGCCACCTTCATTAAGGAGGTGAAGATGTTGGTGCCTGAGGGACACAGGCTGTTCCTCAGCACGGTGGTGGTCAGTGAGGTCAGCGTGCTGGAGCCACAACAGTTGAGCTGCAGAGACCAAGAACAACACTGTCAGCTTTGGATATCCAGGAGACAGGGAAAGATCAAGCACACAGCACACCGTCACTCCAAAATACACTTGGGGGCTGTCCCTCTGCCCTGTTTGTCATCCTGCACAGGAGCCCTATTCCTCCAAACCCCTGGAAAAATGAGGCCCATTAGATTTCTACTTGGGGACCCATAAATCACAGAGGATACCCTTTCCCAGGCCCTGTCTTGTTACAGAGGTCTGGGAAGAAAGGAGACTCATGACCCCACACACCAGGAACCCCACAACCTGCCCTCCTGCTCCAGCCTAGCTGTACCGTCTCATGGAAGGTCTTCACCACAGCCTTGGCATTGTTGGCCTCATCATCCACCACAGCCTGCTGGAGGGCCTGGTCGTAGAACTGCTTCACATCCTTGGCGATCTGGGGGAGAATCATGGTCACATGCAGTGTAGGGGCTACTACCAAGAATACTCAGCTCCTCATGATGGGCTCAACCTGATGCCACCTCTTCCACTGAGCTCCCAAGACCCTGCCCCCACCAGCAGGCCCCAGAAATTTAAAAAGTACCCTATAACTATGGGCTCAGAGCCACCCACACCTGTTGGTGGGCTGAGGGCATATCTCCCTCCCCCCTAGGCTTACCTGATCTTTGTTTACGAAGCCCCAGATGCCTGCAGCCACCTCACAGGCAAACAGGATCACAAGGCAGGTGAAGAACTAGGGGAAAGAAGAGGTCAGAGCCTTGACCAGCAAGCCCAGGCCTAGTCCACATGACCAACAACTATGTGCCAAGGGGGTTGGCCATATCCACTGACTATGTCCTGATTAAGAATGAGCCACATAGAACCATGAGAGACAGAGCCTGATGCAGCCCTGCACTGAGATGGTCCAAGTTTTCATGACCTCACCTTGCTTTCTATTCTGCAGGATGTGGCTGGCTAAGAAATGCAGTTGACAAATCCATGTGTCTACAGCCTTCACTGAGGCGCATGCAGCAATATTTCCCCCCTTATCCTGACCTCAGTTTCCTCACCTCCTTTATCCTACACCCATGGGAAGGTTAAACTATGAAGTGTGCTTCGTTCCCCCCACTTTTGATACTGGCAGGGCCTCCCTCCCAGGCTGGCCAGGCTCTAGAAGGCATATCTGGGTCTCAGCTTCATCAGTAGCTAGTGTGGCCAGGAACACTAAGGCTGCCTTTAGGGGTGAGACACTCTTCTGGAGTTTATGCTTTTCTAAACAGAAACCACTTTTTCCAACATGTGTATTCATACTCAGACTCAATGGAAATCAAACAAATAGGAAAACCAAAACCTTGGGGGAAGACACATAAGTTGCCAGAAACCCTGCTCCCCAGCCCTTCAGCCCTTTGTACTTACCGTCCCCAGCAGGCACTGGGACTCCTGGATGGCCCCATAGCACCCCAGGAAGCCTACAAACATCATCACAGCTCCCACAGCAATGAGAATGTAGATGCCTGGGGGAGGGGAAGACCTGAGTGAGCAGGCTGCATGCATCACTGCCTGACACAGGAAGACCTGACTTGCAACCACAACAGGCAGAGGCTAGCAATGTGCGCTGTCTGAGCCTCAGTGTCCTGCTGGAGGAGCTGCCACTGCCACCAGAGGACAAAACAGCAATTCAGTGCCCAGAGAACATGGGTGATCTCCATTTCACAGGTATGTTCTTCTCTAGAGCCAGTCACCCACCACCTGCACCTGAGAGCAGGAACCCTCAAGCACTCACTGTAGAGGGCTGAGACAGACTACCCATTTCAGTGAATGAAATGGGGAAGTGGCTTGGGTGTCAGGGGCCGATGCCTAGGACTCCCGTTACCACTCCCATTACCGTGTAAGTGCGAAGTCAAGGGTAAGCTGTGCCAGTAACCAACTCCAGGCACCTCATCTCAGGAACACTGGTGCATAACCGTTGTGCTCACCCCTGGGAAAGCCCACTGTGCCTCTGAAGAGCCCTCCATCTCTTGGTCCCTCGGTAGAAGCAGCCCATCCCCCAGTCTCCACGGCAACACTGGAGAGCAGTCCAAGCTTCCTTGCACAGAGTCAGACCCATTGTTCCCTGCCTGGCCAGACCAGAGGAGAAGGCACCACAGCCTGGACCTACTGCCAGACTTAGAAATAAATAGGCCAAATCCTTTGGCCTCACTAAACACGTCTGGTCCAGGGAAAGCCTCCCACCAGGGCTGCCTAGAAACTGTTTTCCCCTCTGCCTCCCAACCAGCAGAACACCCATGACCAGGCCCCTGTTGTTGGGGTTCCTGACCTCAAGATGAGATGTAGGCTCTGTCTCAACAGGAGGATGCATACAGGGCACCCAACACACAGGCA